CTCCGTCCTGTCCTCTGTTTCATTTGGTTTCGTATGACATTTGGTGATCAAGCTTCAAGTTCTCCTATTCCCATTTTTCTTGCAGGGCCATTCCTCCCGAGAAGCAGGAAGCAATCATGCGATTGATTGAGAACGCGAAAATTATCCGCGGCACATACGATATTAAGGCTACCATGATGGGCGGTGAAGAAATGCGTTTTAAAGCGGAGGTGGATATTGACGGACGCGAACTGACCAAACGCTATCTTGAAACATTACCATTAGATGCGTTACTGCAGGTTAGTGTATCATTTTGGTTGTTTAGATACACCTACATTGCGAAATGCCACTAAGGTGAACCATGTTTTTTCCATTTATCTCCGCAATTGCTTCACTTGGATCAGTCACTTGAAGTTAAGTTGGTGGACATCCTCTGGGCTTATAGCAAATACATCCATTAGTCCAATGTGCCAAAGTCGATGAACCAAAGGAAAGATGCGATCTATCAATAAGGTTGCCTTAGCATCACCGGGGAACGGTTACCGTGTGAGCTGATAAGTGTGGTTTTCAACACTGTTTGGTTGGGTCAAGGTCAGCGTTAACATCTGGCAAAAGTATAAGTTGCTCACTGCCACGGAGAGGGTTTTCTCATCCTTGGAGTGCTCATTTTTTCCAAGTGAATTGTGGCTTAAGATCACAAGTGTTTGCAGGTATTACCCTGCTTGGGTGTTGGGATGTGCTGCAGAAGCAGTGCGATCATAATCTATCGATCTAAAAATGCTTCTTTTGAATTTCTTGCTAATCTTGTTGAATTTAAAAAAAGATATAAACGGTGCACAAAGTGACTTGCAGCAGAAAGGCTAAACCCCATAGTCAGTGACATACTTTAAGAGGGTAGGTATGAGGAGGAACATGCTTGACCGAAATTTGAATGGCCCGCCGTCGTTACAACTTTCCAACTAACCTGCGGAAGAGACCAGCGAAAGCTGGCTTCACAACGGAATAGTTGATGAACTTCTACACTCGGATGGTGTTGGGACGAAGATCAACGCCATTCGTCCCACGATAAGCCCGGCCGCACACTTACTGATTCAGTGAGCAAACCAAACAATTTTACAACACATTTGACCCAAGTTGGGTCATCTCAGATCAATACTAATTTCGCGGAGATAATTCAATAATATTGCGTCTTACGGCAATATTCACTCTCTCCGTTCGTCTGATCCGCGGCCAATTGCCGTTTGAACATTGCTCTTTGTGCATTTCATTGGTACATTCTTTTCCTGCGCTGATCAATGTTATTTTCAGTCACATATAAGCAGCAGAGTGAACTTGTTAATTGACTTGTGACGCACGACTTGTGACTTGCGGTTTGTGCTCAACGCCATTAAAATCCCGTGCTGCTGAAGCTGTCTTCTCTCTCGCGTGTTTGGTAGGCCTGAGAGATCGATAGCGGACCGCGCATCCTGCGTTTCACCTAGGTAGCGTCCGCTCCTAGAACTATCATCCGCTCACGGACTTGGAGTTAGTCCGCTCTTCTCGTTTTGCGTGTGCTACTGTTGTTACTGTGCTATATCTCGTGTTCTTTGCACTTGTGGCCTTCTCCTACGATATAGTGCTGTGCGACCTTATAGTAGACAACGGATATAAGCGGCGCAAAACATAACAAATTGGCGAAATAACAGATGGTATCCACTAGGTGTCGAGTTGATCGTCCTGTTCCTTTTTCAAAACGGTGTGATGGTGTCGTATTTGTCGAAAACCAGTGGTTTCACCTGACCAAAAACGTGTTCTCTTAATCTTCACTCTATGTTAATGCACCTGTACTAGAATGTGAACCCAAACATTTAAGTTTTTCCACACACTCATTGTTGTAAATGTATAAATTACCCCCTCTTGTTCATCTGATGTTCTTAATGATTTTTATGACAGCTATAATAATGGAATACAGTCAATTTCCTGCTATGTCGCACCCCTGAGAAGTCGC